ACCGGACCGAGTTGAGTTGTTTCGTGAGATCCTTGTGCCGAGCTAGTTCCACTTGCAACGTTTCCTTCTTGCATGCTATCACCCCCATGGATTGCTGGATTGCAAGCCGGGAGTCACCCACGATAATCAGATCGGTTATCCCTCGGTCAATCGCCGCCAAGACTCCATTGTTCATGCCGGTATGCTTACAGCTGACGTCGATAAGCGCGCGACAATCGAACATGTTATGGAGTGCATCACTGAGGTTATTTGCGGCCGTCCACTTCCTCCGTTGCGTGGTGTGTCGAAGAAGAAAGAGAAGACCAAAGCTGAAAAACCTTCAGCTGAAGTGACCAAGAAGACCGAAGCGAGGAAGGAAACTGTTGCAACCAAGACCTCGGACGCTACGGATCTGTTGAACATGGACTTTAACCCCTCCATTTCAGACAGTAAACCACTTTCTGCAAAGGCCGCACCGAGTGCATTTGACACGACCTGGACGGCACCCACAGAGGGCTTCGCAGACTTCGCGAGCTTTTCGTCGCCAACTTCATTCGGTCAGAGTGCAGGTAACGACGGGTTTGCTTCGGGTCCTGCAAAGGTTGACCCCTTCGCTTTTCCTGCCATGCAACAAGCTCCTGCAGCCACTCCGACGAGTGTGTTTGATTTTGATGCACCTCCTGTACAAGGGGCACCTGCTCCTATGCCAAGTATGGCGACCAAGGCTCCAGAAGTAGACCCCTTTGCAGAAATTGACGCCCCACCCCCTGCTCTACTTTATGGTGGGTTGCCTCAACAGGGACAGCAACAAAAATTCCCGCAACAAATGTGGGGAGCTGGCACCCACACTAGCCAGGGATACCACTCGTCGAACCCTTTCTAGGACTTAAAGTTTGTAGAGATGCACTCGCATCAAACTACAAATCTAGATATACTCATGATATTTTCATAGAAAGTAATACTGCTTTCTTTACGTAGTAAAAGTAAAAAAACATGATTGTTCGACTAAAGAAAAACGAAAGATCTGGTTATTTGCCGGCAGCCTATCCATGAATATTGTGAATTGCCGTCCTTAATCGAAGAATGATTTAGCCGCGCGTTAGCTCACCATTAAAAAACGCTTAATGTATGCGGCGGATCTGGCAAACAACAATTTCGAGCTAAGTTAAAACGTAAATATCATTCATTTAACCAAGAAACGACAGCAAACGTAGATAATATTTTTGTTACGGTATTACACGTAAGAACTTTCGCCGTAGATAAAAAAGAGTTGATCATGACACGCGCAGCAATAATTACCTAGAGCACCAACCACCAATCAATTCATCGTCCTCCATGTCATTCTCATTGCTCTCACTATCTGACCCACTGCTTGAATCTACATAATTGTCGATCTCGAACGCAACTTGGCGTAAAACTGGCGAGGCTAGAAAAGGCTATCGAATCTCCATCAAATCCTCGCACCCCACTCTACCATCGCGTTTCTCCCGCTACCTTAGGCACGTGAATTCCCGAATAACTCTTCTTTGGGATGCCAATATCGGTGAAAACACAGCCATATCTGAATGGCGCATACTACTGATACGTGACAAACCGCTGCCTTGAGCGCAAGTGCTTCGCGCCATTTTTGACAGATCTTCTCCTCTCCGTAAAGGAATGCGAACATTGAGACAGACAGATCAACCCGACGTATATGCTCCAAAATGCGCGATCTTCTTCTTCAGAATAGAGCACCAAAGGATTAAGAACCTCCAACGGCGGGGATAGCGCTTCTCCATCACGAGAAGTTTGTGGTTTATTTTTAAGCTGTGAACCACTTAAAAGCTACTTCAGACTTTGGTGTAAACTTTTGTGACGGAAAGCTACATGTATTCTGGTCCAGCGTATACTATACACCTGTTAAGTTTTTTGTTCTAGGACCTCGAGCACTTACTGTACTCCTGTTCCGTACACGTCCCTAATACCGCCAGCATCTTCAGCTATTAGCAGCTTGAGCACTTGTCCGCGTCGTCTACTCAGTCGCACCGTGGTGTTTTTCGCGCTGTGGCGCCCTAATTCACTCTAGCTGGTTTCTCCCTGTTAACTCTTGATTAGTTCCAATGGAGAACTATCAGAAGGTAGAGAAGGTGGGCGAGGGCACGTATGGCATCGTATACAAGGCGCGAGACTTAACAAACGGCCGCATTGTGGCACTGAAGAAGATCCGGTTGGAGCCGGATGAAGAGGGTATTCCATCCACAGCCATGCGCGAGATCTCACTGCTCAAGGAGCTGTCGTCCCACCCGAACGTGCTGTACCTCTACGACGCAGTGTACCAGAAGAACAAGCTGTATCTTGTTTTTGAGTTTGTGGAGCAGGATCTCAAGCGATGTCTCGAGAAGCTCCCGGCCAGGATGGAAGTCTTCCAGGTCAAGAGCTATCTGTACCAATTATTGGCGGGCATCGCTTTCTGCCATGCCAACCGGGTCCTACATCGTGATCTCAAGCCACAAAACTTGCTCATTGATCAGTATGGCAACCTCAAACTGGGCGATTTCGGTCTTGCGAGAGAATACGGCGTTCCCTTGAGACGGTATACACACGAGGTTGTGACGTTGTGGTACAGAGCTCCCGAAGTGCTGCTAGGTGCCAAGCACTACTCGACGCCAGTGGACTCGTGGTCTATTGGCTGTATCTTTGCAGAGATGGTCAATAAGCAGCCATTGTTCCCCGGAGACTCGGAGATCGATGAATTGTTCCGTATTTTCCGCGTTCTTGGCACTCCGAATGAGGAAATGTGGCCTGGTGTGTCAACACTACCAGACTACAAGACGTCGTTCCCACAGTGGCGTCCCCAGCTGCTGTCGAAGGTGGTGCCACAACTTGACCGTGTGGGTCTGGACCTACTCTCGGTGCGCTCAACTGGATTATTTTCAAGGTTTTGCTTTGTGTTATTAACGCTTTTTATTGTGTCAAACGCAGCGTCTTCTTGTGTACGACCCTGCCGGTCGTATCTCTGCCCGTGCTGCCATGGCGCACCCATGGTTCGCCGACCTGCATCCGCAATACGCTTCTTTCCGCAACAACGGCAACGGCAATGGCACTCAGACGTTCTTTTAGCTCCATGGTGATGCTTGGTAAAAGAAGGGGAAGAGATATTATAGAAAAGAAGACAAACAAGATGCTTGGACTGAGTCAAGCACAGGAAAAAAGACTAACTCTTCAAATATCAAAAGCCACGGACCAAGAAACAGAGATCAAATCACAATTAAAGGGGTCAAACAGCAACAAAAACTACTCCCCGCATATAAGGCATATGTGCTGTAAATGAATACAACACTGCTTTAGGTAGGTGTCAGCCACATGTTTTCTAATTAGGTATGTGGTCAAATTGAGGTTTAAGCTAGATGTCGAGCGAATCCCGTATTTTATTTAGAACACATATGCCTTATATGCGGGGTAAGACGGAGGTACATAAGAAATGAGAAACAAATCAAACCAATCATATTCGTTCGCGCCAGATCTCTCGACCAATCATTCGCTTTATTTTGTTTGCAAATGTCAAGTTTTAAAGTCAGGCGTATCAAAAATCGACAACGGCGATGAATGGAGCTCCTCGTAAACGCCACCATGATGGACGCGCTGAGGGCGTCGAAGTGACGCACACTTTATCCTATAAGAAAGCGCGGACACTGGCGATCCCACAGACAGCGCTTGATGTCGCTGGAGTGAGCAGAAGCCGCAGTAAAATCCGTCAACATGAAGCGACCAATCCTGAGTCTGAAGCGATCGAAGAGGAGGAAGAAATCGAGGGAGAACAACTGACGGAGATGCAAAGTCAAGACACGGAGGGGGAAGAAGAAGGCGCCATGCCTCTCGTGGTCTTCCAATGCAGCACATGTCGCTCCATTTTTGGGGATTCCTACGCCTTCGTGTGCTCCACAGAGCAGCTCTGGCTAGTAACGTTAAGTCACGTGACCAACGTGGCGCTGGCTCCTGAAGTGCAAACAGCCAATAGCGGACTGGACGCAGGTAGTTCGTACTATGAATTACTGTGTCATAACTGCCAAGCCGTCCTCGGACGCAAATATTTAACTACGCCAGTGGCGTTGGATGGGATCCGGGACTTATTTAGTTTTTCGACCGAGGCAATCACAAGTTACACACTGGGAGACCCCATGCAGAAAGGTGAAAGTGGAGAAGATGAGTGGATGAAACAAGCAGCAATAGCGTGTCATGAAACGATGCAGAAACTGGCCGCAGATAGGAACGAAGTTGCGAGATTGAGAGACGAAATGGACAAGGTCAAAGGGCTCATGGTGACGGTGGACGACCGACTCGCACACTTGGAAGGCGCTGCACCTGCGTCGGAAGACGAGATCGAACACCAGGAGCAGACGACACGGCAATATGGTAGGAAATCCAAGGCCTAAGACTCGTTAACTGGATGATGAAGGCGTTTAGATATCTCTTGTCCAGTAATGTCAAGTAGCGTGGTATCAGCCTCGCTTACACTTATTGGGTAGCCTCAGCCTGAGCTTCAAAGACAGCGCGAGCAGCCTCAATGCCCGTGGGCGGCTTCGCCTTGCGCATCTCGCCCGGTCTGCATCGCAATAACAATTATTGTCAGCAAATAGCTAACGAAAAACGTATGCAATTAATTGTAACTATTCATACCGGTCGACGTATTCAATGACAGCCATCTCGGCGCCGTCACCCTTGCGGAAATCGGCCTTGAGGATACGCGTGTAGCCACCCTCACGAAGTCTGCATATAGTAACATAACGTTGTTATCAGTTTGTTATGCGTTACCAATATTAGCAGCAGCAGGACGCACGCGTAGCGAGGACCCACGACGTCGAAGAGCTTGGTGAGTGCCTCGGGCGTACGTAGAACGCTTTGGGCGCGCTTACGAGCGGGCTCATCGCCCTGCTTAGCCATCGTCACCACCTTATCGGCAATACGACGCAGCTCCTTCGCCTTGGGCAGCGTCGTGCGAATGCGCTCGTGCTCGATGAGCTGCGTCACCATGGTACTGTGTCATCATAGGCAATTAGCAAAAATGATTATGGAATCGGTTAAATGTAGAGATGAGAGGTGGGCAACGTACCGCAGCATCGCCTCGCGATGAGCAGACGTGCGGTTGAGCTTGCGGAAGGCGACGCGGTGCTTCATGGAGCGTTAATTGTCTGAGCTTCCTGTGGTCACGAGCAACGTCCTTCAGGCGATTTGTGTTTGACACACCAAATGTATTTATAATAACGTGTGACACACAAAAAAACAAAAGGTGATCTTTCGCGCAGCGTTCATGGAAAACTCGCTTCTTTTTGCTGAAAATACAGAATAAATTTGATCCTAACTGGAAAACACAAGAGAAGCCAACTAAAGGATAAACCGTTTTCAACTCTTCCTGATACCTCCTGTCCCTCATTCTTCGATACGCCCACTGCCCAGAGTACTTCAGGTTTTCCATCACTTTTCACCGCCAAAACGGTCGACAAGACGGTGTAGCTCAGCCTGGTACTCTGCCAAGTCGGCTTGTTAATTGAAGAACCATTCGCGGTATTTTGTTATCGTCACAAACGCAATACCGTCGACCTCGTTTGCTACCACATAAATTTTACGGTAGGCAGATTTGGACATCTCAAATGAACAGCTCTCCTGAACCTCGCACGTGTACTTCGAAGCATAGTTCTCAAGGTCCTAAAATGTATTAATATTTTCATAAATATCAAATTATAATGTCGTCATGAAGATTCGGGGCCTCGAAGAAATGCTTCCACCTTTTCGTCATCGCACAACTTCGCATTAGGCATTTTCCACGTATCCTTTTCTTTCATTTCCTTCTTCAACCACAAAATTCGCTTTGGAACAGCTTCAGACAGCACTGGCATCACGTCGTCCTTCATGTTAGCATCGCTCAAATAGCCCTCCAAGTACTGGATCGAGGCCCCACGGAGATGAGGGTCGGCGGTCTTGAACCTTTTTCCAATTGCATTAAAATAGCTCTTGTCTGATTCCTGAGTGACCCATTTCCACAACAACCCAACGCATCTCGAACAAAAAAAATCTTGATCAATCAAGGGCTCGGCTTATGTGAAAGCGACCATAAGCAGGGATATCTGAGCCGCCCCACTTTCAAAACTATCGATAACGCGTAGTATCAGCTCCAAAGACGAAAAAGTCGTCCCTCCAGTAAAGTTTCCTCCTTTCTCCCCAAACCACTTGATGACCGAATCACCAGTTACCGACCAGTCGAATCTGTTCACTATAGTTGTGAATGCCTGATCACAAGTTGTGATCAGGCCTCCGAGAAAATAATATCAATACCGCAATTACTACCCATTTGTTATTATACTACGGATTATTGTTTTTTTGGGATAATAATATAGTGTGATAGGGACGGAATAATACAAATATAAAGGCTTACCGTTCGAGTGGCTTGCAGCCACCCATTCCTCTCCACCAGCCATTTTTCAGCGCCTAGTTCACTTTCAATCTTTGAGAAGACGGTCATTCTTGATTTACATCATGTCGTCCCAGCAACTCGCCGCTTTCTTCTACACCGTTCTTGAGCCTGGGCTCTACCGGTGCAACATCTGTGAACAGCCACGCAAGCAAGCCCAGCGCCCAGGCTACACAAACCTGATCTCTCACCTGAACTCGAAGCATCCCACTCACGGCGAAGAGTATGCTGAGTTTCAGCGCCGAAACCTGACCTCCCTCGAGGTTTTTGGATTCGTGGACGAAACGACGACTCACATGTACGACTGGCTACGCTAGATTGTCGAGCGAAATCTTCCTCTGTGCGAGGTTGAGAACCCACTAACGAGACAGTTAGTTCGTGTTGCGACGCAATACCTTTGAGTTTGTATACTCGGTTTGTGCAATATGATAGGTTAAAAGGCAATCAAATAGTCTATTTGATTGGATAAATGTCAATAAGGGCAATGGCTGAAGGAAAGAGGCCAGCGTCCACCCAACTAAAGATAAGCCGAGGGATGTGGTGGAGAGGTGGCCATGTGATGCCACCTCATATCCAAAACTGACGGCAACTACCAACTACGTGTGTAAGCAACATTTCAAGTACTTCTCAATGGCTGCTATTGCTAAGACTGGTGGTGGCCTCGAGAAATTTAATGGTAAGTCCTACACTATGTGGAAGGACAAGCTGTTGACTTACGTCAATCAGTTGGACCATCAATACCAAACGAAGCTGTTAGAGAAGGAACAGCCTGAAGCGAAGGTGCTCATGGCCGACTTCCTGCGGGACAATCCTAAGAAGCCAGCACCACCGACCACCAAAATGGACGAGCAAGAGGCGCTCTCAGCGCGGTGGGACGTGATGCACTGGATGAGAGGAAGGGGCGACTTACAAAACCTGCTCAATCAGGTCCTTTCAAACTTCTTTCTCTCTACCCTTCCCGATGTGGTGTCCTCCATGGACCCATGTGAAGTCATTCGACTTCTCGAGAAGGACTTCGGCCAAGGTGACGCTGCGGGCCTGATTGAGCTGACCCGGGCCTGGTCGAAGGTGTTGCGTAGCCCTTGGCGTGACTTAAGGACACTTTTCGCGCAGCTTAAGAAGGCAAAGAACGAGATTAACAGAAAGTCTCGGAAGCTGCTCGGCCAGGACATGGTGATCGAGTCTTGGCTGTGCATTGAAGTCCTGTCACAACTCCCAAGTGAATTTTGGGCTTCAGCGATCTCCATGAAGAAAGAGGACTTCACGGTGGATAGGGTCGAAGTGGACTTACGCAAGACCTTTGGTGACCGATCGAAGAAAGAAGTGGGTTTAATGGATAAAACCCAAGCGATTCCTGTCAACAATGTCGGGGTCAAGAGAAAAAGCGGTGCAGGTGAGGGTGGAAAAAGGTGTTTTTACTGCCTCAAGAGTGGACACTTTTAATCGGACTGCTCGGTGATGATCGCTGATAGGGATCCTAACCGCGAAGGTGGACCCCTTTTTAGGACCGATATCAACACTGCACCGGGTGCTAAGAAGGCCAAGAAGGCGAAGACAACCCCGATTAATACCCTCAAATCGGTGGTGCTAGAAGGGGAAAAGCGCCTAAATGAGTGTGGGAATACTCTTCTGGAAGAGTGCATTGAGGACGAGGAGATGGACGACATTGAGGATCTGGACCCCGCCTACCATAAAGGTTTTGAGGATGGTGGCAACGTGCCGGATACCTCTGTCAGGTCCCCACTACAAATGGACGACATCGAAGAGGAGGTACGTAAGCAGCATCACTCCTATTTGAGAGCCTTGAAGAAGTTAAAACTGACCGATGATATGCGGGTGGTTGATACTGGTGCAGGCCGAGCTATAACATCAGATCGAAGCTGGTTTAGTGGGAGCCTAAAACCGAGTCAGGGCCACACTTTTACCTACGGAAACGGGAGCTTTTCTCATAGCTCACTAAAGGGATCAATAAAACTTACCGTTTTAAACCCTAAAAAGAGGTTGAGTGTATTAACACTAAGTGATGTCTCCTTTGACCGTAAGTGTGATAGTAACTTGTTGAGTGCCTACTATTTAGCTCGACAGGGATTTAGGCACTTTCAGTCAAAATCAGGTGAATTTCTTTTTTTTATAGGGAATGACCAAAAATTGCTCTTTGCAGCAGTGGCAATAGGAGAAGTCTATTACTTACCGAGTATTAAACCGACTAAAAGGCGTGTTTTTAGCACTCAGAGTGGTAACTTAGCTAACCTTTTAAAGGAGTGGCACCTAAGACTGGGTCATGTCGGTAAGGAACGTCTAATTAGGACTATCAGCAACCAGAAAATTGAGGTTCTTCCTCATATTTCGTATTCAGAGCTTAAGAAGGTCTTGTTTTTCTGTAAAACGTGCGCTCAAATGAAGGACAAAAGAATATCATATAGAAATTTGGTGGGAAATAAGAGTAATGAACCACTACATACACTTCATATGGATTCAACCGGACGATTAAGAGTTAACGGTTTATACGGATCTTTTGGGTACCGATACGCATTGGCTGTTGTAGATGACGCCACTGCTTATAAGTGGTACATTATCGTAAAATCCTTAAAAGAGGTACCTGGGAAAATTAAGTCTTTATTGAGGAAGCTGTCGTGTCAATTTCCTCTTTATAAGGTCAGAAGAATAAGGACTGATGGTGGAACAGAATTTATAAACACTGAAGTGTCCAAAATATGCGATAAATTGGGCTTACAGTTTGAAAGCTCTAATGTTGAATCTCCAGAAGAAAATGGCAGTGCTGAGCGAGCCCACCAGACCATGATGGCTGGTGTTAGGTGTGCTATTAGAGGTGCTAATATGGCTGCTAAATGGTGGCCTGAGGCCCTACTTTATATGGTGGATGTCACTAATCGACTACCAATGGCTAGACTGGAAATGAAAACCCCTTATGAGTTACTGCACCGCCATAAACCAAAGGGGTTAGGGTTAAGAATTTGGGGCTCCACTTGCTATGCGCATATACCAAAGTCAAAACGAAAGGATCCTAAACTAGGCGATCGGGCTATAGAATGTAAGTTGTTGGGATTTTCGCCTAAACATAAAGGGTACCGACTCCTGGACATTAAGGCTAATAAATACCTTATTGCCCGTGATGTAAAGTTTAGCTCAGCTGGTACTGAAGCAATGATCAGTCGATCGTTCCCTATCGAGGACTGTAGCGTCAACGTTGAAGAAGAAAAGGTAATTCAAGGCCTAGGTAAAAGAACTAGACCTAATCTAGAAGTTGAAGTGCAGGATATTGACACCACTGGCCCAGATTGTGTCTCTCGACCACCGACACCCAGACAAGTGGGAGTGCAAAACGGTGCTGTTCGTAGGTCTAAAAGACGACGACTGCCAAATGTGCGGCTCAACGACTACGTGACAGAGTTAAATACTGTAGCTATTAATAAGACAGCCAGAATACCTATTCCTAGGTCAATTAAGGAGGCCAGGAATAGCCCACATGCGAAGCAGTGGGAGTGTGCAATAAAGACAGAGTATGACGCCCTTTTAAGTAATAAAACGTGGGAATTAGTACCCCTTCCTACTGGAAGACGGCCATTGGGTTGTCATTGGCTGTTTGATGCTAAATACAGAGCCGACGGCTCAGTGGACCGTTTTAAGGCACGGTTAGCTGTGCAAGGAAATACACAATTGTATGGAATTGACTATAAAGAGGTGTTTGCACCTGTAGCAAGATATGAATCGTTGCGCTTATTACTGGCATTA